TGAAAGAAAATATACTAGTTAAAATTTTTTTTATTAAAATAAAACCAGATTAATTTAAACATATTTAATTTAATTTAATTAAATCAAAACAGTTATAATTGAATATGCTTTAAAACTAATTCGAAATATATCAAATTGTTTTCAAATTGTTTTTGTATTGAATCTAAATTAAATTCAGATTTGGATCAGATCGAATCAAATCAAATTCAGATTCGAATCGGATCAGATCAAACTGTTATAGTTTCGAATCAGATTAGATCAAACTATTGTAATTTTGAATCGAATTGAATTAGTTTAAAATGAATCAGATCTATATTCGATTTGTATTAATAAAAATCAGATCAGATCAAATCTAGTTAAAATCTGATCTGATTCGATCCCTTGTGATTACTACTTAGAAACATCAATTAAATATAATTAGATTAATAGATAATTTGTCAGATTTTACTTGTTTTTGTTAAAGAAATCACATTAATTAGTCTTCTAGAGGATTTAAACTTGCATCTTGTGATTTGATTTATAGAATGCTAACTACTGTACTATTGATCCATAAGTTTTTCTTATATAATAAAAATACTATAATATAAATATAAATAAAATTTGAGATTATTTGAAATATAAATAAATAAAATAATTTTTATTAAACTTATAATTATAATAACAAATACAATTAAAATTAATAAATAAAGAATTATATAATCTACAATATAATATTTCAAATATTTCTTGAGAAAAATAAAAAATAAAATACAAGAAAACTCTTAAGTTAATCTGTTATAAGAAAAAAACAAAAAATTAAAGATATCATTAAGAAAATCTTGAAACAAAAATATAAAAATCTTAAAAAAATAAAAAAAAAGTTAAAATAATATCAAATAGGATTATAATTATAGAAAATAATAATAAATTTATTATGATCAACTTAAATAAAGATATTATCAAGAAGCTTTCAAAAAAAGATCAACTAACTTTGACAGTTTGCTTGAGAATTGGAAGAAAGCATATAAGATATTATATTAATTATTAAAAGTTCTTATAATACTCACTAATAATCCTAAATAAAATATATAGTAGTATTCAATTTGATAAAATTGGAAAATTTTTTTTGTGCGAATTTAAAAATATTTGCAAATATCATTCATTATCTTAATAATATATCAAAGAAACTGCCATTGTTCATTCTTTCACATGAACATTATTTATGTGATAAAAATGTGAACACAAAGATGATTGAGAAAATCGTCATTAAATTAGTTGAACGAGATAAGAAATAACAATATGATCAATTGTGGTCGATCCTAAAAACAGATCATTGGTAGCATCGTCAAATAGTATTTCGCGTCTATATTTTCTGCAAGTTTATATGCAAACACTTCGTCTTCATAATAATCTCGGGTTTTCATTCATTGATAGAAGTTATAAAAGGGATTGATAAAACTACTACTCCCCTCAAAATAATCATGTCTGATATACCATTAATGCAACAAGTGCGTCTAGACTCCCCTCGAATTTATAGAAGACTGGTAATATATATTGACCTGCCTATTTCGCAATTGTTGCATCAATTATCTGGAATTCGGCGTGAGTTAAGAGGAGACGACATTTTACAACTAAGTATTTGTAGGATCGCTGGCGACCATGGATGTTCATACGTACGATTGTCAACTCGTTACATATGGTTATATTTACTGAACGAAAATCAACAAAGGATCTACAGTGACATAGCGAGGTCAGTTAATAATTACAGATTGTTGACTCCTTCGCGACCGAGAAGAAGTTTAAGAACAACATTAGAACAGATTCAAACAACTGTTCAAAGAAATTCTTTTCTTGCCGTACCTACACAAAATAATCTGACCCCGGACCAGGATGCGAGGGAAATTTTAAATTCAGATTTATTTGACGGATCCCCACAGCAGTTCTGTTTTTTTGGACCTGATTCTTCGCCAGATTAACGGAAAATTTTTTACATTTTCCCTTACATATACCGTACTATATAAGATAAAGACTTTATGTTCTTTCTATGATGTCGATTACGTTGACAATTATTTAATAAAGCAGTATACTGCACAACTAAGTACTTCAATATATTATTTTGAATTAGTGAATGTCGAAGATCATTTTGGTTGATTATTTCGTTTACTTTAAGAGGCCTGTTTACAACAAACAAGGAGATCGACTCTTCTATTATTCACGTGTAACTAAAACTTATGATCGCTTTCTGCAAAGAATCTTTAAGAACAGGTTGAGTGTTAGATGTGGATAATTATTTTCGAAGGCGGAGAGAGATCCGAAAATTTACTCTATATTATTAAAATGGGGACCATACTGTATTTGGTATTTTGATCGCCTTCCATTGTCCCCGCAATACTTTGAATGATGCACCAGAAAAGACTCTCATTGGAATAAAATATAATCTAATTAGGGCAATTATTTTAAGATACACTACATATTAGCATATTAGTAATTCAAAGGCATATATTCCAGTTTGTCAGTATAATATTAACACGATTTTTTTTTTTTTTTTTTTTAATATTAATACGATTTTGTATATCGGTATATTTTTAGAATCAAAACTATAAAATCAAAAGAAATAAAAAATTAAGTATTTAAATAATAAAAAATAAATTTAAAGAATTTTTGAGTTATTATCATCCTCTATTTTCTTTCTCTTGTTTTTAATTTTTTTTAATAAAAAATTTGACTTATAATAGTGAAGAAAAATTAAGTAATATCTTATTATTAATGAAAAAAGTTTGTTTTTTTATAAAAAAATCATTTGTAAAGTATATAAAGATATTTTTTCCTTTGAAATATGATGTTATAAAGATTGTTTATAGTAAAAAGTTTTCAAAAAAATTTTTGTTAAATACTTAAAATAATTTAAACTTTAGAAAATTTTCTAAAGAATAAGATCTTGTTTTAATATTGAACTTTTTATACTATTTATTATTTAAATTTGTTTATTTTATTATGAAAAAAAGAAAAAGTATTTAATTAAAAACTTTTTTTTAAACACTCTTTTTTGTTATAAAAAATCTAGATTATATTTTTATTATTTTGAATTTAAAATTAATATTTAAGTTAATTAAAAAGTTCAAAAAAAAAAATAAATTAGAAAAAAATTTTTTAAAATATTTATTTAATAAAAGCATTAAAACTTTATTAACTATAAAGATAAAAATTTTTATTAAAATTAATTTAAAAAGTATTAATAATAGTTTTTTAATTAATAAACTTTCAAACTAATCCAACTATAAGTTATTCACAATATATATATATAATAGTTTATAAAAGTTTAATTTAATTAGATTTTTTTTATCTATAATCAAATCAATAAAGTGTATTTATTAATTATTATAAAAACTGATAAAGATACAGAATATCAAAATATATATTATAGTTAAATTAAATTATATATATATTAACTTATTTATTAATAACTTTCAATTTTCAAAAAAGCTTTAATCTTTAAGCATAATCTTGAAAATAATATTTCATTTCATTTTAATTTTGAATAAATACTTTTAAAATTTAATTTATCAATATAAGATTATTATTGTTTATTATTCTTTAAAAAATTAATTTTTAAAAAACTATTATAAAAAATAAAGAGAAATTTAGAAATATACAAATGTATTATATAAAATAAAAAAAATTTTTTTTTATAAAAATATTATTTATTTCAAAAAATCTTTACTAAAGACTTTTTTTTATTAGAATTAACTATTTTATAATAGTTTTATTTTTTTGATTATCTAAGAAACTTATTCTTTTGAAACCCTTGTAATTATTGTGATACTTATTGTTTACTCAAATTTAGTATACTACTTGATATTTTTATTTTATAAAAAAAAAATTAATTTTTTGTTTTTAATCTTATTATTTAATTAAATAAAAAAATAATATTTTCTACATATTTTTTTTTTTGTAATATTTATAATCAGACTAGATTATAGTTTATTAATTAATTAAAAATATAAGTATATTTTTATTTAAGCAATATAATATATATTAAAGTTAAATAATTTTATTAAATTTAATAAACTTATTATAAATAATAATAGTCTTTAAATTTGATCTTGAAAATAATATTTTATTCTATAATGGTTTTTGGATGAATATCTTTTTAGTCTATTATATTATTATTAATAGATTGTTATTGTTAAATATTCTATCAAATTATTAGAATACAGAAAACTATAAAAAAATGAATTGAAACAAAAAGAAAAAATTTTTTTAAAAATATACAAATATATTACAAGAAAATAATAAATAAAAAAATAAAAATAAAACTCTTCATTTCTTTCAAAAATTTATTTTTTTTTTTTTAATCTACAATTAAATTAATATAACATATCTTTATTATATATATATATAATATTTACAAAATTATTATGACTTTTATATGTTAACTTATCCATTATAAAAAATTAATTCTCTAAATACAATCTAGAAAATAATGTTTCACTTCTTTGCTGATTTGAATTAATCTTAAATTAGTAAAATTATTGTTTACAGGTTATTACTATAAATCATTTTAAGTTCTATCTACAGTTTAAAATTAGAACAATTTAATACCATAAAAAATCCATTTTCCAATAATTTCTATATAACCCTTTTCTTTTTTTCTTCTTTCATCTTCTTGTTTTATATTTTCTACTGAAAATAACATCAAGTCTTTGGTATCTTATAGAATTGATATATCTAATTTATCTTTACATTTCTTTGTTTATTTCTTTTCTTTGATAATATCTAGCTTTTTT